TCACTGGTAAGCAGGTCAGAGTGGTAGGAGACTGAAGAAACCCAAAGAGGAGGTGAAGAAGAATTGAACTGGAAAGATAAGCTGGCAACAAAGGAAAATACAGGTACTGAAGCCACTACAAAGAAAAAGTGGACAGGACATGGAAATAGCTGAATAGATAGAAGGATAAAGGAAGAAAAGAGATGACCAAGGTTTCTAGACAACTAGAATCCAAGGGTTTTTGAGGGAAAATGTGTGGTTAGTCCAGTCCTGATATTCTTTTATGTTTTTTCCCAAATAAGTAAAATCAACTTTTATTTTAAAAAGCTAGGGGATCCCTGGGTGGCTCAGCGGTTTAGCACTGCCTTCAGCCCAGGGCCTGATCTTGGAGTCCTGGGATCGAGTCCCACGTCGGGCTCCCTACATGGAGCCTGCTTCTCCCTCTGCCTGTGTCTCTACCTCTCTCTCTGTGTGTCTCGTGAATAAAGTCTTTAAAAAATAAAATAAAATAATAAAAAGTTAAATTAAAACATTTAAACACAATCATGGGGGAAAACTCTTAAAAATCCTTATCAAAGGTTACTTAGAATATTCTGATGATAAAAGGACTTTAACTGCTGATACCTTTTACTAACAGAATAAACAAATCAATCTCTAGATCAACCTCTGCATCAACGAAATTCCTCCCTCCTTCACAGGATAGTTGTAAGAATAAAACAATACTCATGACAACACCTAATCCAGTGCCTGGCACATAACAGATGCTCAAAAGTTGGATTGTAAATGTATGAACTGTCAGCTCTCCAAAATGTGAATTTGCTTTAATTGTGGCTTTTGTTCCTGCCTTTCCCATCTATACCCTCCCTCTTCAGCACAGGCTCAAATATACAAGTTGTCTAGAAAACACGGACTTTTTCCTAAACCAGGCAGCCCTGCTTGGGCTCATAGAACCACACTGATGGTGAACTATGAGATAGAAAAGTTAGAGTCGGCCGCTTGCCTGGTCACATGATGTTCCTTCGCTTCGGGTCAGGGCTTAATCACCACTTTTGGCTGAGAGCTGAGGACTCCCTGTCTCTGCTTCCCGGGTACTCCTCTCCAACTAAAGAGCTGGTTCAAGCCTTTTAAAAATCATTAATTGCTTGACCACCCTAATCCCTGCCTCCTGCCTTGAAATCGATATTGGCCCTAACTTCTCTTCCATTCACCCACAACTAGGGTATTTAAGTAAAATACAAAAATGAGGGTTTCTGGGATACCTAGGTGGCTCAGTGGTTTAGCTCCTGCCTGCGGACCAGGGCATGATCCTGGAATCCCGGGATCAAGTCCCATGTTGAGCTCCCTGCATGGAACCTGCTTCTCCCTCTGCCTGTGTCTCTGCCTCTCTGCCTGAGAGTTTCTCCTCTGCAAAAAGATTTACGAAACTACAAACATTCAGCTACAGATGCTTCTTCACTGGTACCAAACTCCTCCTATTTATTGAGGGTAACTGGCTGAAATGCTCCAGTTTCCACTCATCCTGCTAATTTACCCATGTATCCAACTTCTTACTACAGTATGAAGTTACACTATTCACATGTTAGGGCTTTTATTTTCCAATTTCCTATAGTTCGGTGGATAAGCTAGTTGGCCTTGCCTACAATAACTTACACTAAATTACAGTATCAACAGTCAAAATGTCAGCAGAAACTATGTATATGTCTGCCTCCAACAAGATGGAGTTTCTTGGATAGGAATCAAGTCATAGTGTTTATATTTCTTAACAGCATACAGCAGTCTGCCTTATATGAGGCAGTCAATCAACTGAACTGTGAAACAAGAAATAGCACTGAAGGTACAAATAACAGGGTAAAGGATGCTGAGTGAACTAAGTCAATCGGAGGACAAACATTGTATGTTCTCATTCATTTGGGGAATATAAATAATAGTGAAAGGGAATATAAGGGAAGGGAGAAGAAATGTGTGGGAAATATCAGAAAGGGAGACAGAACATAAAGACTCCTAACTCTGGGAAACGAACTAGGGGTGATGGAAGGGGAGGAGGGCGGGGGGTGGGGGTGAATGGGTGACGGGCACTGAGGGGGGGGCACTTGACAGGATGAGCACTGGGTGTTATTCTGTATGTTGGTAAACTGAACACCAATAAAAAATAAATTTAATATTAAAAAAAATAATAACAGGGTAAAGGAGAAGGGGCATACTCCAGAAAAGCAACCATAGATTTCTTCACATGGTGTGCCTTTGGGACAATCACATTCTCTGTGCCTAAGAAGCCTCTCCTAAAAAGTGGCAGGCGTCTGGCAGTAAAAAGTACATAAACTCCAGGATCACTCCCACCTGGCAATCCAGCAAGCCCTAGGAGTTGAAAGGTCACTCCACATTCCTCCTACCTACCACAAATGAAACAGCCCAGGCCACCTGGAGGCCAAAGCTTGCCTATCTGATCACTTAGCAGTTGCACACATAGGCAGCGTCCCAAAATTGTGAATGTGGCACTCCCCAATATCCTGCTGGCCCATAACTAGTGGGTAATGACATGAGTCTGTCCTTTGCATGAGAATTTGTTCATATATAATTATATACACCTTGAAGACAACGCGTGCATCTTACTCCTTTTAAACCCCTACAGAGGGCAGCCCAGGTGGCTCAGCGGTTTTGCGCCGCCTTCGGCCCAGGGTGTGATCCCGGAGATCTGGGATCGAGTCCCACATCGGGCTCCCTGTGTGAAGCCTGCTTCTCCCTCTGCCTGTGTCTCTGCCTCTCTCTTTCTGTGTGTCTCTCATGAATAAATAAATAAAATCTTTTTAAAAACATAAAATAATAAAATAAAATATAAAATAAAATAAACAAAACAAATAAAATAAAATAAACCCCTACAAAAGGCAGCCCGGGTCCTGATCCTGGACCCAGGATTGAGTCCCATGTCGGGTTCCCTGCGTGGAGCCTGCTTCTCCTTCTGCCTCTCTTTGTGTCTCTCTCTCATAAATAAATAAAATCTTTAAAAAATAAATAAATAAAAATAATAAACCCCTACCAAAGAGGCACCAGGTGGCTCCCTTGGTCTGCCTTTGGCTCAGGTGGTATTCTCAGGGTCCTGGGATGGAGCCCCCTGTCTGGCTCCCCGCTCAGAGGGGAGTCTGCTTCTCCATCTCACTCTCCCTCTGGGCTCGCCCTCTCTCTTTCAGATAAATAAATCTTTAAAAAATAAATAAACCCCTACAAACCCTAGTATCTATTAACACGTTTGATCACCTTTTAATGGAAACTGAGAGGTGGTAATGATAGAGCAAGAGAGAATACAGGAGTTCTGGGATCAATCATGAGTCTACAAATAACCTTGGCGAGTTAAAGCCCTGTCTGACACATACGGGGTATTATTTTGAACTTGATGTCTAAGTGCCCTAACGGCTGACAAAAGTGAGAAATTATTTTTAAATGGTACCGTTTATCAACAAATTAATCTTCTTACCCATTAAATATGCAGCCGTTTTTAAGAGTCTTCAGTTAAACAGTTGGGTATCTAGTCTGAGTTAGAAAATGTGCCACTAGATGGTCTTTGAAATCCCTTCCCGGGGTGCCTGGATGGCTCAGTGGTTGAGCGTCTGCCTTTTGCTCAGGTCACGATCCCGGGGTCCTGGGATCGAGTCCCACGTGGGGCTCCCTGCAGGGAGCCTGCTTCTCCCTCTGCCCGTGTCTCTGCCTCTCTGTGTCTCTCATGAATAAATAAAATCTTTAAAAAAAAAATCCCTTCCCATTGTAAAGCTCCCTAATTTTCTAAGAAAAAGCTCAGGGTGATCCAAGAATCACAAATCTACGTCTCCTTCACCCAGTGTGCTCCAGGAATCCAAGCGGGAGGCGAGGGGCTGTGGTACAGCCTTCCCTCCACAGGTGGTTCCCAAGAAGTAGAGTGCGGCGCGGAGCAGACCTGGGCGCCTCCCACAAACTAAAAGTCACCTGAACTCAGAAGCCGCACGGGCCTTTGAAGCAAGCTTCGTTTTAGGACTCGAGAAACTGGAGCCAAGCCGGGCCTTCTCTGCCACTAACCAGCCCTAGTCTAGTAAGAAGTGAGCTCTCCAACCTGCAGAATGACAGGCTGGACTAAGGTCTGTAAGGTCGGTCCCTCTCTGCCGTCCAGAAAAAGAACCCACAAGGGCACGAAAGATGAAAGACGGCCGGCGCCACCAACCACCCTCCGCCTCCTCTGACCAGGGGCAAGTCCAACCAAGTCCACCTGCCAAGCTGAACTGCGACTCCCAACGTGGGGGACACGACCCCCCAAGGGGGGGGTCTATTATTACGATAGGGGCGGCGGACAGGGGAGGCTCTGCGTGGAAGGAAGCGGGCCACGCGCTCCCCAGGTGCACGGGGAGGAGGGCGCAGGCTTTTCTGACGTTCCCTGCACGGGGGCGGGGGGCGGACAGGGGAGGCTCATGCGTGGAAGGAAGCGGGCCACGCGCTCCCCAGGTGCACGGGGAGGAGGGCGCAGGTTTTTCCGACGGTCTCCGTACCGGGGAGGTGGGGGGGGCGGACAGGGGAGGCTCATGCGTGGAAGGAAGCGGGCCACGCTCCGCAGGTGCACGGGGAGGAGGGCGCAGGCTTTTCCGACGGTCCCTGCACGGGGGGGGGGGGGCGGACAGGGGAGGCTCTGCGTGGAAGGAAGAGGGCCACGCTGCGCAGGTGCACGGGGAGGAGGGCGCAGGCTTTTCTGACGGTCCCTGCACGGGGGGGGGGGGCGGACAGGGGAGGCTCATGCGTGGAAGGAAGCGGGCCACGCGCTCCCCAGGTGCACCGGGAGGAGGGCGCAGGCTTTTCCGACGGTCCCTGCACGGGCGAGTGGTGGGGGGCGAACGGGGAGGCTCTGCTTGGAAGGAAGCGGGCCACGCTGCGCAGGTGCACGGGGAGGAGGGCGCAGGCTTTTCCGACGGTCCCCGCACCGGGGAGGCGGCGCCGCGGGCCGGCACCCCCGGGAGCTACGCGGGGTGCAGCGGGGTGCAGCGGGGCCCGGGCCGCCGCTTACTCACCCACAGGCTGCTGAAGTAGTCCAGCCCGCGGCAGATGAGCGCGCCGGCGTAGGCCAGCAGCACCTGCACGCCCAGGTAGCTGCCCAGGCTGTAGAGGCCGTAGAGGAGCGGGCCGCCGGCGCCCAGCAGCAGCAGCAGGCGGCGGCGGCGCAGCGCCTGCTCGCCCAGGGCCTCGACGCCGTAGTCGGCGAAGCAGAGCGGCAGCAGCAGCGCGGCCAGCACGATGGGCGTGTGCGCGCGGTGCAGGCGCTGCAGCCAGTGGCGGCCCAGGCGCGTCAGGGAGCTCTTGAAGGGGTGCAGGAAGGTGCCGCACAGCACGGCCCAGAGCAGCGGCCGCAGGAAGGCCTCCAGGATGAAGTAGACGAGCACGGCGGCGCCGCAGCACAGGCACACGAACAGCACGGCCCCCGTGTTGTAGAAGGCCTGCTTGATGGGCTTGTCGAAGCGCAGCGCCAGCGCCGGCGTCCTCGGGGGCTCCCCGCCGCCGCCGCCGCCCGGGCGCGGGACCCGGGGCGCCCGGCCCGGGGAGCCCCTCGGACTGGGCGCCTCTGCGGGGCCGGCGCCGTCGGCCATAGCGCCCCAGCTGCGGCCGCCGAGAGGCGGTGCCGGGAAGCGGAGCGGGAGGCCCGGGAGCGAGGCCAGGCGCGCGGCGCGCGGCATTGTGGACGTCGTAGTTCCCCGCTGCGCACCGAGCGCGCACGAGACCCACCGGGAACTACAACTCCCAGAAAGTGGGGACAGCGCTCCCTCGCCCATTGGTTCCCGCGGAGCCAGGGAACAGGGTTCGGGGCTCAACATCTTCCAAGATGCGGGGCGGGGCGGGGCGGGTCAAGACGTCCCTTCGCCCGTGGGGTAAGCTCAACTTTTCAGGAGGCGGAATTCCCAAAGGGGCGCACTGCGTTCGTAGACTGGGACTCCAGGCTGTGCCTCGGGACCCCGGGGCGGGGGTAGGGGCGTACTTACGAAAGACGGATCCCCGCATTCGGGTCTATTTGATTTCTTTGATAGAAGCAAAGGGTTCGCTCCGGTGCAGGGCTTTAAGTAGCGGTTGCCAGATCGCTGACCCTGTTCCAAGTGGCTCGTTCGTTGAATCCTTAGAACAACGCCCTGCAGAGAACATGATGTCATTCCCACTTTACAAAAAGGAAAAAAAAAAAAAAAGGAAACTGAGGCACGGAGAAGTTAAGCACCTTGCCAAGGTTGGCGAGGTCACGCAGCTCCTGAGTGCAAAGGCATGCTTCAAACCCCGAGTCTGGGGATCCCTGGGTGGCTCAGCGGTTTGAGCGTCTGCCTTCGGCCCAGGGCGTGACCCTGGAGACCCGGGATCGAGTCCCACATCGGGCTCCCTGCGTGGAGCCTGCTTCTCCCTCTGCCTGTGTCTCTGCCTCTCTCTCTCTCGCTCTCTCTCTCTCATGAATAAATAAATAAAAACCCAAAAAAAAAAACACCTCCAAATCTAGCTCCTAAATCTATCGTCTTACCCACTATACTAATTGGTTTGACAAGTGATCTTTGGCATGTTTTTCAAAGCTCCTTGGTGGACTGTAAAGTAAGGTTACTGTTGACATTGGGGTAGGCGTCACGTGGGAGCCATCTAAACTTCTAAAAGAGCTCTAGATCAGAGTCTCAAACTGCCACTGTTTCTTTTTTAAGGCCTGGGGGTCAGGTTAATTAAGCTCCCAACCCTGATTTCCCCCTCTGTCACGTGGAAATGATAATAACAGAAGCTCCTATCTCAGGAGAGAAAAAGAGGAAGCTCTAGGGCAGTGCGAATTGCTCCTGTTTATGTTGGAAAGGTCCTGGGACCCAAGCCTACTACTCACACCTCAAACAGCATTTTTATTAAAAGAAGACAAAAGGAAGGAAAAGAAGAAAAGGAAGGAGCAGGACGGAAGGAAGGGTGGGAGGGAGGGAGGGCAAGAAAGGAAAAGGAAAGAAAGAAAGAGCCCCAAGGATGTGGAGTCTGCCTGAGATTCTCTCTCCCTCTCAGTGTGCCCCTCCTCCCACTCCCACAGTGTTTTTTCTCTCTCAAACAAATCTTTAAAAAGAGAAACAGAAAGGGGGAAAAAGAAAAGGAAGCAGGCAAGCTTTACTAAGTAATATGTGACTGCTTTGAAACCCTGCAGGTTATCCCTTTTCTGTTTTCAGTAAGTTTTCATATAATTTAAACTTAGTTTTTGCTTCTCTTCTAAAGTAGCCAGGACAAGTATCATTATCCTCAGTTTTCAGATGAAGAAATTGTTGATTACTAAGGCTGGGAGACAAAGGGATTCAGGAAATAAAATATAATTCCTTTCCATCTTGTTTTTCTAGGTTTCAGGTCACAGCTCTTGTTTTTCAAGTGGTCTTTGGACTTTAACTCTGTAAATATATCGCTTCAGTTGTCTTACATTTTGGTTTGCTTCTCTACTTTGTCCAGTGCTGCTGAGATTGTATTTCCATCATGGCCACATTTGCTTTCAATGCCCATTTTACACCGATTCCAAGCTCCTATTTATATCACAACAAGGCCTCAGCCTCCCTCCCAAAAAGTCCTCAGTAATGAGTGGGGAATCCCAAAGAGGGTGCCTAACATATACTTAGAGACATGAGTCAACCACCAACCACCCTACATCCACCCCGCTGCCCACACAGCTCACTGCCTCCAGTTCCTGTCAGAGGATTGGCAGTGCCTATGTCACTATTCCCAGAACCTAACTTCTAAACCTCAGAGTGCCAAAGAGCTGGGTTCCACTCAGAGGTAGGGAGGAAGTCCTCCACCCTGATTTGCCTGCCCTGTGCCCCTTTGTGACTCACGCCCTAAACCAGGCCACTTGTGCTCAATGTATTGTACCTCTTCTCATAAAGAGTTCTTTCTGTGTCTGGCCTTCTCTACTCTAGTCACAGGGGCTCAAAACCAATCCAAAAAAAAAAAAAAAAAACAGCATCAGTGAGGTAACAGAGACCAAGCATCCCCTGTCTTCCTCCAACCAAAGACTCAGTTGTCTTCCTCTAGTTACAAAAAAAGAAAAACAAAACCCCCCCAAAAAAACCCCAAACCTCCCCAACAACTCCGTTTTGCGTAACTAAAGCCTTTACAAACAGAAACTGACTTAGGTATGCATTGGACTTGGTTGGAGGTGGGGGATGGGGGCAGCAATAAGGTTGCCTAACCTGTGTTCTGGCTCCCACTCAGCAAACCAAAAATTCCCTGTCACGGTGTTCTGCTTCCAAGTCTCAGCAAAAAGCAAAATTGCCAAACATTTCAAAACTGTTCTAATGGCCAAAGCAAGAGAACTGACAAGTCTCAGGATGCCTGGGTGGCTCAGCAGTTGAGCGTCTGCCCTTGGCTCAGGTGATCCTGGGGTTCTGGGATCGAGTCCTACATCGAGCTCCCTGCATGGGGCCTGCTTCTCCCTCTGCCTGTGTCTCTGCCTCTCTCTCTGTTTCTCTATGAATAAATAAATAAAAAATCGTAAAAAAAAAAAAAAAAGAACTGACAAGTTTCCAATAGAATTCCTAGTGAAGAATGAAATTCTAATAGAAATGATGGCTGATGCACTGGAAACTAGACTAACATTTGTATGGCCTAATTTAAGGCTGGGTTCCCACAGCATCTTGCTCACCACGCTATACTGGTCCCTACCACGCTGTGCTCAAGGTCAGTGCTTTATATGGGTTTGCTTCATCCCTGTGTCCCCGGCACCAGACACAGCATGTGACATTCACAGTACAGAGCAGAAGCTCAATGTTTGCTGAGCAAGTGAATGAATGGGTGATCGCCTTTCAAAAAGCCTGTTTGTACTTCCTGTCCGAAATGTTACTGGAACAGTAAGAATGCTTCTGCCAGGCATTCCTGTGGTTGAGAGTTACTGAGATGGAGAACCCACAAACTAAATTTGAGTACACACGGTCCATTCAATTCTCTAGTTCACAGGACATGTGCTTTTTAAGCTTCGCCTCCAAAATGCAAGGGTACTTGAGCTTTGTTCACCTCACATAGCAACTCACCCCGACCACCCCAGGCAAGAACGGCCTCCACGGTCATCCAGGATCCCAGTGGAGGTAAAAATGGGCTCAGGAGTGGATCAAGCGGACCCTAGGACCACACTGCCTTTGGCTTTCCAGTTGCACGAACCATCAATTCCCTAATCACAAAAGCCAGTTTTAGTTGGGTTTTACATTTCCTGCAACAGAAAGCTTTCTGGCAGATAAAATGATGATACCTACATTATGGGTTGCTGTGAGGATTTTCAAAGTAAGAGTGTGTCTAAAGCAGCAGCATAGTGCCTGGGATATGGTGAAAACCTGATAGGGGACCCTGGGTGACTCGATGGCTGGATGTCTTGAAGCCAGAGGCAGCTCTTAAACAACAATTAATGTCCGAAGTCACCCCCCACCCCCCACTCCCCCCCCACACACTTACCCAAGGTATCAAGATAAAAGCCCCAGAGGGAGGCCTGGGTGCCTCAGTGGTTGAGCATCTGCCTTTGGCTCAGGGCATGACCCCGCGGTCCTGGGATTGAGTCCCACATCAGGCTCCCTGCAGGTAGCCTGCTTCTCCCTCTGCCTGTGTCTCTGCTTCTCTGTGCGTCTCTCACGAATAAATAAAATCTTAAAAAAAAAAAGATAAAAGCCCCAGAGATAAAGCAAATACAGGCAGGAGAGGATTGTCCTGGGCATTGTATCTTAGAGCTCTCCAAGTGTCTCTAAAAAGTTACTGAGTTGTGCTAAGGACCTGCTTTGTACAAAATCCAGTGCTTACAATAGAGTCCGTATCAAAGACAAAGGAAACAAAAGAGATAAACCAAAAAAACAGACTCTTTTAACTGGAGAAAACAGATGGTTACCAAGGGGTGGTAGGTGGGGGGGATAGGGGAGATAGGTAAAGGAGATGGAAGAGTATACCTATTTTGAGGAGCACTGAGTTATATACAGAATTGTTGAATCACTATAGTGTACGCTAATTTAACACTGTATGTTAACTATACTGGAATAAAGATAAAAAATAAGCAAAATAAAACAAGAAACCATGGAGTGTGTATGTCATGTATAAAGTGACAAGTATGTACAGTGAAGGAGGAAAGATCATGTGAAAAAGTAATCAGACATGCATTCAAATTCCAAATAGGAGTTACCACTTTTCTTTGCTAAGTCCAATACAGACACTGCTGATCAACCGCTAATCTCTTTCTCCCTGTGCCTAGACATAGCCTCCAAATCCTCAGTGGAACATTCTAGGAAACCACTATCAACCGATTAAACTTATTTGTCTTCCCTACTGTAACTAACCATGGGGCATCTGATACTAGGTGAAACCGGCAAACTAAAAAGGTAGATAACTGGTGTAGAAGAAGGGTTTAAGGAAGTGAATTAGTGTGTATGTGAGAAATTACTGAGAGTTTTGTTTTTTTTTTAATCTGAATGGCTGAAGGACAAATATTGCAAACAAGTCTGCAACCATCAGGTCTTGCCTGACTCCCTAACTGCTCCCCCTTCCCTCTCCTCATCCCACGCTGGAACACATGACCCCACGTGGGGTCACTGAATGGAGTGTAGGCTTTCCTGTCCTTCCGGGCTGTGACATCCAGCTTCAGCTAACCTTCCATGCTGTGTCAACAAAGACAATTTCACTAGTTAATGAAAAGATGACTGAAGAGATGATTAAATGGATTCAATCAACTCAACTGAGACCCATGTACCCAGGAGAGAGCCAGGTGAATAAAAAGCAATTTGGTCAGTCCTTTTGGGAACACACACACACACACACACACACACACACACACACACACTTTTTAAAAGTCTGCAACAGTGAGGTGCCTGTGATGGCTCAGTCGGTTAAGCGTCTGCCTTGGACTCAGTTCATGATCTTGAGGTGCTGGGATACAGCCCTGAGACCAGCTCCCTGCTCAGCAGTCGACTTCTCTCTCTCCCTCTGCTCCTCTCCCTGCTTGTGCTCTCTCTCTCTCTTTCAAATAAAAATAATTAAAAAAAAAAAATCTTAAAAAAAAAAAGAAAAAAAGTGCAACCAAGACAGCCCAGCCCCCTCTTCCTCTTCTAAGGTGGGAAGAAGGGTGAATTTTGTGATTAGCAGTTCTGTGCTGAAAGTCAGGGTGCCTATCCAGAAAGTAGCTGGACTTAAGCGTCCCTAGTTGATAGCTATGCATCTTCACAGGAGAGATCTACATTTTATCTGGAATGGCTGAGGTTGAGAGTTCCAGATCAGAATTGGGAATTCTGAGCCTGCCCCTTCCTTGGCTCTACTCCCAACAATATACCCAAACTAAGGCTGAGGCCACCCAATGTATAAACACACCCACCCTTCTGGGTAAATCAGAATAAGACTGAAAACCAGAAGATGCTGGATGCATTTCAAATTGGCCAGACTAATCCCTCTTTATTTATAAATAAACTATTTGTGTTTGGGAATCAAGTCTTGCTGGGTTTGAATCCTAAGTGCCACTTGTTTATATGCTCTTGGCACCACACGGTGATGTCACTGAAGCCTCTGGGTGGTCTCTCCTACCATCTCTGCCCTCCTGCTCCAGTCAGTTCTCTACATTGCAGGCAGTGCAGCTTTTCTCAGGTACAATCTGATCCTTTCAAAATCTCCTTACCCAGGACGCCTGGGGGGCTCAGCGGTTGAGCATCTGCCTTTGGCTCAGGGCATGATCCCTGAGTCCTGGGATGAGGTCCCACATAGGGCTCCCTGCAGGAAGCCTGCTTCTCCCTCCGCTTATGTCTCTGCCTCTCTCTCTCTCTCTTTCTCTCTCTGTCTCTCATGAATAAATAAAATCTTAAAACAAAACAAAACAAAATACCTCCTTACCCCCTAGGAAGAGTCCAAGCTCCTTACGCTGACTTCCAAGGTATTCTGTGAACAGGCCACACTCACCCTCACTTCTCCCCATCTCTGCCTTGTCTTTTATCCTCCAGCACTGTGATGGAAAGAAGAATGGCCACGTCCTAATCCCTACGACCTATCAAGCGTGCTACCTTAGGTACTAAAAGGCACCTGGCACCTAAAAGATTTTGAGATGGGTGATTATCCTGGGTTTCATGGGTGGGGCCTAAATTTAATCTTAAGTATCTTTAAAAAAAAAGATTTTATTTATTCGTGAGAGACACACACAGAGAGAGAGAGAGAGAGAGAGAGAGGCAGAGACACAGGCAGAGGGAGAAGCAGGCTCCATGCAGGGAGCCCGATGTGGGACTTGATCCAGGGTCTCCAGGATCACACCCTGGGCCGAAGGCAGTGCTAAACTGCTGAGCCACCCAGGCTGCCCCTTAAGTATCTTTATCAGAGGGAGGGGAGAGATCAGGCTACAGAAGAGGAGCAGCAATCTGACCAAGGATGTAGAGAAATTGGAGTGGTGAGGCCAGATGCCAAGGAATGCCCACAGGTACCTGAAGCTGGAAGAGGCAGGGAGGATCCTCGCCCCTGGAGCTCCCAGAAGAAATCAGCCCTCCCGACATCTTGATTTCAGCACCATAAGATTCAGTTCAGACTTCTGGCCTCCAGAATTCAAAGAGAACACATTTTTGTTATTTTAAGCCACTGAATTTATGGGAATTTGCTACAGCAGCAATGGGAAACCTCATATAACCTTGTCAAATGGCAGTGGTCCTGGACACACCTGCTGGTTTTTCTTCTGGGGTTGTTCTCCTCTTTCTTGGTTCTCCATACCTTTCACCTGCTTTACTCCTTCCTTTCTTCCTTAAGGCTCAGCTTCAGGATCACTGCCTGCTCCACTGGTTGCCCCAGGCTGGGGGAGGGTCCCTCCTCCCTATCTGCACCACACCTGAGTATTTCCTTAGCACTGCAGTCACCAAAAGGTCTTATCATGGTGTTTATGTGTCTGCCTCCCCAGCAGGCTGTGAGCCTCGTAGGGGCAAAAATCAAAAGCTGTTCTTCCTTTAGTCCTCTTTGTTCAGTGTCTAGCACAGGAATTGGTACATAAGAATCCTCAGTATAGGGATGCCTGGGTGGCTCAGCCGTTGAGCATCTACCTTCAGCTCAGGGCGTGATCCCAGGGTCCCGGGATCAAGTCCCACGTCGGGCTCCCTGTAGGGAGCCTGCTCCTCCCTCTGCCTGTGTCTCTGCCTGTGTCTCTGCCTTTCTGTCTCTCTCTGTGTGTCTCATGAATAAATAAATAAAATCTTAAAAAGAAAAAGAATCCTCAGTATATGTTGAATGAATGAATGAACAAGTGGGTAAAGCTTCTTGACCTCCCGGCTTCAGGTGATTTTCACATCCACTATACTTCAGCTGTCTCTTCTTACAGCTTGTCCCCTGGCCCTTGTACCTAGGACTGAGCCCAAAAAAGATTCCAACTCAGCCATCAGCCAGGTTCAGGTCTAACAGCTGAGCTAGCCACTGAGGATCCTGCCAAACAAATGCCAGAGGGAACACTTAAAAAACCAAGAAATAGGGATCCCTGGGTGGCGCAGTGGTTTGGCGCCTGCCTTTGGCCCAGGGCGCGATCCTGGAGACCCGAGATCGAATCCCACGTTGGGCTCCCGGTGCATGGAGCCTGCTTCTCCCTCTGCCTGTGTCTCTGCCTCTCTCTCTCTCTCTCTCTGTCCTCTCTCTGTGTGTGACTATCATAAATAAAAAATAAAAAAAAACAAGAAATAACAAAATACTTGTTTTCACGGGGGTGGGAGGTTGGGGGGCGTTGAGGATTAGAGCCTATAACATAGAATGTGATAATGCCTGATTCTTTCCTAACCTGACATTCCTTGACCTTCTCAGTCTAGCCCTGGTAGTACTGAAGCTCAGCTGCTACATTCTGCAAGTCCCACAGCTCCCTCATGATCATGAGGCTCTACTACTAAACCCTATTTTTTTTTTCTTAAGGATTTTATTTATTCACGAGAGACACAGAAAGAGGCAGAGACACAGGCAGAGGGAGAAGCAGGCTCCTCTTGGGAGCTTGCTTGAGTAGAAGACAGATAGATGCTCAACCGCTGAGCCACCCAGGCATCTTTATTCTTTTTTTTTTTTTTTAAATCTTTATTTTTTTTAATTTTTATTTATTTATGATAGAGAGAGAGAGAGAGAGACATAGGCAGAGGGAGAAGCAGGCTCCATGCACCGGGAGCCTGACGTGGGATTCGATCCCGGGTCTCCAGGATCGCACCCTGGGCCAAAGGCAGGCGCTAAACCGCTGCGCCACCCAGGGATCCCATCTTTAACTATTCTTAACATAAAATATGATTTAGCTTCCATTAAGATTCATAACCGAGATCATGAGTTATGAGCTAATGATGTGCTACTAACCAATTAAGATTGTATACTTTAAATGGGATTATAGGCCTCCATTACTTTTTGATAAAGGTATTAAGCTGAAGCTATAAATACAATTTCATTTTGCAAGCTGTTTCTCTACGAGGACTTTTATCTGACTACTGCAACATGATTTTCCTCTTTGTCAGACAAGACAGGCCATCATCTTCTCCAAGGTCTGTAAACTCAGGAAGACTACTAATAAAAGCACATAAAAACAAACAACAGAAAACCAAAAATGGACCAGAGCAAAGCAATAAGGAATTATAAACTAACTTTAATTATATCAACAGGAAGAAGTTCAAACCATGTTGAGAATTTATATTTTAAAGTTTTAACCTAACTCATATATATTCTAACTATAACATAATCCTCTAAAGATAAAAGTATCTGAGATGGCAAATGGACAGAACAATCGTTTAGGTAGCATCTAGGAATATTGCTACAATTACTTTACATAAATAGAAATCCATGTCTTTATTAGTAAGGTATCACATCTTAGAGTAAAAATTCACATAGGTCAGGCTTATAAATATACATAAATCTCAAAATCAATTTCAAGTGAACATTAGGTACACAATTATTATAAAACAAATATAACCCATCAGTGTCTATTTAAAGGCAGTTTTTACAAAATAGTATCTTGTAGACAGTCTCAAAAAAGTATATTAATACTCCTGGAGCCAGATTGTTCCAGCATATCAGCGTGTCTGCGGGAATAAGGCATGTGGAGAAGCTGCATTCATTCTTCCAGGTGAACACTGTACGTGATGAAATGGTAACTACTCTGGTGACCTGGGTGAATGCCACAACCACCGCCAACACCCCGTCACTAGAGAGTCACTTACCCTCCAGAAGGATGGAACTGAACAGCTATTTGCCTAATAACAAATGTGGGAGTAAGGGGGCTGAAAACAGTGAAGCATCAGTACATTTTAAGTGAAAAATCTCAAAAAGCTTGATGATTCACTTCAATATTCAGTCTCCAGACGTATTTAAAATCACACTAGCATAGCCACTATTTTTGTGAAAAGGAACTTAGACTTAGGTTGTTTATTAAATATAAAAGCAAAGAAGTCCAACTTGAAACTAAATAACTGAATATCTGAATAAGGAATCTAAATACAAATTATGTGTAGGTTGTATCAACATGCCATTTACTTAATTAACATTAGCCTTAGCTTCTTAACTAAAAGTATAGACAAGTCAAACTCAACAGTGATACTTTATACGTTCTTAACCATTCACATAATGCAGAGTGGAGGCGGCAAGGCTTAATAAAGGAATCCTTTCTACAAACTAAATTCCTAAAAACTCAAGGGTAGTGTTGCCTATAATATGCACAATGTGGTATCTCTTGGGTTTTAGAGTATTCAAGAGATCAGTAAGAGGAACAATCCTGACAAAGACCTTCACACGGGCATGGCATGTATCTATAGGCGTTTATGTACAAACACACACAGACCTCATCATGTATGTACAAATATATATATATACACACACACACTCAGAATAATCAAACTGTCCACTAAACATAACCGGTTCTGTTTAGAGAACAAGTATATACACTACAATTATATACAACAAAGTATATACATCTCAGCATCTGGCCTAGTGAAGGGGTTCTCAAACATTTTTCACTAGAACACACGAGAGAGATGCCATAGTCACGTGTGTAAAACTCTCCCCTGGGTGTAACAGATTTAGATAGTGCTTAAAAAGAAATCTACAGGGAAATTAATTACTCTGAAACATTGTAATCCCCACCATGAAGAGCAATTCACCAGTAAGAGTCATTCATGATTGCCACAGCTTAGAGAAATTAAAACTGCTGCTTACTCGTTTCTGAATTTACTGCAACAGAGTTGAGCAGCTGAAACAGAGACCACAAAGCCTGAAATCTTTATCATCTGGCCCTTTACAGAAAAAGTTTGTGGACCCCAGGCTAGGGCGAAGAATGACACACAACCTCAGTGGTAACATCTTGGAAGCACAAAACCCAGAATCTGGACAGTAAATTTAATTACAGAAGTTGTAGTAAAAACCGCCTGGGATGAAAAATCCATCCCTGACCTGTCCGAACTTTCTGATTTGACAAAAGTCAATTTAAAAATCATTGAATATTAAAAAAAAAAAATCACTGAATATGGCTCCTGCATTTTGTCTGAAATAATGGTCATAAATTCAACTTTGAGACTACAGTGGAACTATAAAAGGGCTCTGGGTTCCAAAAGAGAAGACCTGGGGTTTTAGGCAAATCACTTCTAAAACATTAAGGCAAATACACTCTTCCAGGATTGTCCAATCTGTGTATTAAAGACAAAAACAAAAAACAAAAACCTATTAAAAGCACTAACATGCCTAATAAAGATTTTAAATGTTTTTGAGAAGAAAGTTTAAGAAAAATGTACCTCTTTCCCCAAACAGAACTACAAAAGTCCTCCTATTTATTGTGAATCAGTAAAGGGGGGGGGGGGGGGAAGCACCTACCTAATTTAAATGTGGATAGTGGATTCCATTTAATAAACACACTAATGAGTGTGGATAAAGACACAAATATGTATGAAATCTTTTCACCTTCCTAGGCCTCAGCTGCCTTCTTGTAAAACTAGTGCATTAGGTTAAATGATCTCTAAAGTTCTTACCAGCACTGGTCATTTTTTTTTCCAGCACTGGTCATTTATGCCAAATGACTAGCCCCAGTTTCTTCATCTGTAAAATTGGCTTAACAAAACAATCTATATCCTATGGGTATTGTGAGGATTAAATGGGTTAATCCCCATAAAGTGCTTAGAACAGCACTAAATACATTTAGCTGTTATTATGGTTCTACTCTGGCACTTTATATATTAAAAAAACAAACTGGCCACTGGCCATCAGGGAAATACAAATCAAAACCACAATGAGATACCACCTCACACCAGTGAGAATGGGGAAAATTAACAAAGCAGGAAACCACAAATGTTGAGAGGATGTGGAGAAAAGGGGCACCCTCCTGCACTGTTGGTGGGAATGTGAACTGGTGCAGCCACTCTGGAAAACTGTGTGGAGGTTCCTCAAAGAGTTAAAAATAGACCTGCCCTACGACCCAGCAATTGCACTGCTGGGGATTTACCCCAAAGACACAGATGCAGTGAAACGCCAGGACACCTGCACCCCGATGTTTCTAGCAGCCATATCCACAATAGCCAAACTGTGGAAGGAGCCTCGGTGCCCATCGAAAGATGAATGGATAAAGAAGATGTGGTTTATGTATACAATGGAATACTACTCAGCCATTAGAGACGACAAATACCCACCATTTGAATTGACGTGGATGGAACTGGAGGGTATTATGCTGAGTGAAATAAGTCAATCGGAGAAGGACAAACATTATATGGTCTCATTCATTTGGGGAATATAAAAAATAGTGAAAGGGAATAAAGGGGAAAGGAGAAAAAAATGAGTGGGAAATATCAGAAAGGGAGACAGAACATGAAGACTCCTAACTCTGGGAAAGGAACTAAGGGTGGTGGAAGGGGAGGTGGGTGGGGGTGGGGGTGACAGGCACTGAGGGGGGCACTTGATGGGATGAGCACTGGGTGCTATTCTATATGTTGGCAAATTGAACACCAATAAAAAATAAATTTATAAAATCAACCAATCAATAAATAATAAAAAAATTAAAAAACCATAAAACATTGGTTAGGCATCTCCCCTATGACAATTACTATGGAAATTGAGAATACAGAGATAAAACAGAAATTTACTCTCAGTTAGGTAAGAATAAATGAAACTGAAGTCTACAGAATTTTAATTTCAGTGTGCCTATAAACTAACGATCCTCTGAAATGACAGTCAAATGCTGTTCTGCATCCCTGCTCTGTTAATTCTTATTTGCGAAGAATAATTATTGTTAAAAGTATCAATTAAGGTTCACCGCAGGGCAAAACAGCATTGGTATTCACTGACTCTCTGTGTTTCAAAGGTTCAATGTTTGCTAAAGAAATGGTTTATGGTTTGATCACAGGTGAAAATAGAAAAATGCCGGGGATCCCTGGGTGGCGCAGCGGTTTGGCGCCTGCCTTTGGCCCAGGGCGCGATCCTGGAGGCCTGGGATCGAATCCCACGTCGGGCTCCCGGTGCATGGAGCCTGCTTCTCCCTCTGCCTGTGTTTCTGCCCCCCTCTCTCTCTCTCTCTCTCTCTGTGACTATATAAATTAAAAAAAAAAATTAAAAAAAAAAAGAAATGAAAAATGCCAGCCAGGCTGGCACTGTATATGAAATACAAGCCTCTGAACCACACAAAGTTGCTGCAAGAGTACAGCTTCACTTACTTCTTCTGTCCAACCAAGTGTTTGCTGAGTGCCTAGAGTGTCTGTTAAGATGAGCAACAAGAAAAGGTCCCTGCATTAGGGAGCTAGCAAGGGAGCGCAAGCAAGGGATTGCAGGAAAGTGTGGTGAACGACAGGATGGGTAAGCCCAGCGTGCTGTGGGAGCATGTGGTGGGGACCCCAACCTATCTAGTCCAGGAGATTGGAAGAAATATAGAAGCTGTGAGCTGAAAGAGTTTAGCAAGCACCAGAAGTGGAAGAGTCTGGACACAGGCAACACCATGAGGGGTGACTTGAAAGCAACTGTCTTGCCGGGACATTGCAAGTGAGCAACGGTAGCAAAAGATGATTTTGGAGGTAATCAAAATGGATTTCATTTTACCCTAATGGCAATTAGAAGTCAGAGAAAGTTCTAAGTACAAATATGCAAGACTGGTTATGGATGTGGAAATAATTCGTGAAATAATTGGCTTGACTTGAAATGTAAGCAGAGGGAAAATCCGTTAATGTACTCCTTCCCTGCCTGCTATAGAGGCTAGCCCGGCTCTCTTTAGTCTTAACCTATTTATAGCTGAAATACTATATACATAAGAGAGTGACGTATAAAAATATTTGCCTTCTTATTTACACAGTGGGTGCCTGCATACTCTGTATCCCCACTACTGAACAACCACTATAGTTCAGAAGGTATGCACAGGCCACCCTCAGCGGGGATGGGAGGGCTTAGCTCCAAGGCCATGGCAAGGAGGTGGAGCCACACACTGGAGCCAGATGACCTGAGTTTGAATCCTACCCAGTTCTTTTGCTCACTTAATGTCATTTAAACTCTCCCCATCTCCAATGAGGATTATTTCTCCCTACATCACTTGGTAGACTGTGTGTCATAGAAGCTCAACGCTTTCTTTGTTTTTGTACAGTTCCAGAATTTGAAAGCTTTCCCCTCAGGCAGACTTTCACCCTGCCGTGAATTCCAAAGATGGCTTTAGAAATCAGTCTTCATTCTTGTTTAATCACAAAATCCACAAAATTGGAGCCAGGTCTAAAGCAAGAAAGGGGGCAAGCCAGAGGACTGCAAAACTCTACAATGGAAATCCATCAGCAACTCAAAGACACCCCATAGACTCTTTTCCTGTGAATGGGCTGTTAGCACAGATATTTAGAACAAAGGAACATTTGGGCTCCTTTGAAAAAAGGGAATGCACTAAGTCAAGGCTTTATGATAAGTTCTGCTAACTGCTGGTCCAGTTTACAAGTCTGAACTTGTTGAGTGGAAACTCTAGGTGAATTCACTCTAGGGGTCATCTCCCATTTTCTGATTTAAAAAAGAAATTTCATCTATAAAAAGTTTCTACTTCAAATCCCCACAATCTCCAAAAATGTTGTTTTTCAAAATGCCTTAAATTTTCTATTAAGATGATTTGCCTATTATAAAACATAGTTAACCATGTTCCATGATCTCGACTCTGACAACAGAATTAGCTATAACCACAGATGAATCACGTAACTTATAAAATACAGTAATAGAAGAGTCCAAATTCTAACCACTATGAATGCTCTTATTTTTTAATCATTAATTAATATCATTAATATAGTTTTACGTCGTCAAGAACACTCACAGTTCTGTTTCTGACCTTTCCAAACAGCAGTAACAAATATTTTCTCATAACTACTAAGGAGAAATTTCAAGTAAATACGAATGATTATCTTATCATTGTAATCTTTCCCATTCTCCCCCATCAGCTGTGTAAACATCCAAACACACTCAGGGAAATTGAAAACTTCTCCTTAAAAGGCTGATTGTGAACTAGGGCCATCCAGTGAAGTGCTCTTTAGTAATGCTTCAAGTAACTCTCCTGAGCTGTAGTTGGAAGAGTAAAGGTTGTTGAGAATCCCTATGCCTTGCTCTTTCTCTACCTTGCTACATGTTACCGGACCAAGTAGCCAAGGCCACATGGCGTGTGGGTCACCAAAAAAAGACAGCTTTCCTTGACCTCAAATCCCATTAAGATGGCACTAATAATTTTCATCAAGCCAACTCAGAGATGTTATGAAGCTCAAATAAGAAAACACATTTGAAAGTGCTTAGAAAAATTTTTAAGTACTTTCCAAAAGTATGGGATCAATATTAAACAATCCTCTTTGATTAGAAAAGCAGCTTGCTCTTTCTTCCAAAAAAACTGAAATCATAGCAGTCTTTTTTTTTTAAATAAGAAAAGCTAAAATTATACTGCATATTCTTTAAAAATATATTTATACTAAAGACTTTCTAATCCGTTTAACATGTTGGCTTTGTAGCTGTGGTTAAGGGGTTCCCATCAATAAGTAGAAGGTCAGGGCAACAATGAGAAGCAAACAAAACGGAGAGGAGAAGGTTTGATAGGCAGCTGATGGCATAAAAATATCTTCATACTTGTAAATACTGACAACACGCTCCGAAGTCGGTGGTGAGTCTATGTCGTGTCGGGTGATAGAGCCTTCAAGGAAAGAAGGAAGAGGACAGTTAAAAAAAAAAAAAAAGATATAAAATGTTGTATGCAAACAAGAGAAAGACTAGACAAGTCTTTAGCATCAAATACATAAGTAGAAATTATAAAGATCTGGAATCAGGAATTAGAGCTAATCATCAGAATTCTCCATAACTGTATATACATAGAAATACAGGGCAGCCTGGGTGGCTCAGCGGTTTAGCGCAACCTTCAGCCCAGGGCGTGATCCTGGAGACCCGGAATCCAGTCCCACACGTCGGGCTCCCTGCATGGAGCCTGCTTCTCCCTCTGCCTGTGTCTCTGCCTCTCTCTCTCTCAATCTGTGACTCTCATTAATAAGTAAATAAATAAAATATTTTTAAAAATACAAAAGAACATCGAAATTACCTAAATATACCTCCAAAGACTGGCTCTCATGAATCCACACTCCCACTACCTGAACAATAGTGCTGTTCTCTCCATTTCACCCCACTTTGTTGCTGCTCAGTATTGTATGAATGCCTACTTTCAAGGTCTCTAACGAGTTTTATCCTACTCCTACGATCAGGAAAACTGTATGTTGATTTCAAACAGCAAGAGCTACTAGTTTTATTCCCCTCAAATATGCCTTTTATATACGGATCATCAACATTTCTGATGACGCTATGCTTGCTTAAAGATGGCAGGCTCTGTCACTGGCTGTGGTAGATGAAGTGGTGGCCTGCCCAGGTCAGATCAGAGAGTGTGTGGGTGTGCTCTGTGTGCATCTGTAGGTCTGAGAGTCAGAATGAGGTGGAATGGTACAGAGGGTAGGAGGGTTAAGATACCAAACAAGTGTTTGGACTAGAGACATTTTTATAAGCTGGTTAGATATGTAAAGAGAAAAAGGCTGTGTAGGTGGGGTGCATAATAAGTGCACCCCATTCATAGTGCTTGACCTCCTGAATAAGCCACGTGGAACTTGGCTTAAGGAGACTACAGGCATGTGAGTTCAGAGCAAAGGTTTCCTTGGAAATAGCGCTCAGAGTGAGGGTTTTTTAAAAAAATCCTATCTGCTAGGGAAGCCCTGCCATATTTGACACGTTAATTCCCTGCTCCAGCATCTGTGCCCACTCCTGCCAAGTCCTCAGGTTGGCAGAAATTTTTCTTTCAACAGATCCACTCACCTCTCCCATCTAACCTAACCTGGTCATGTACCTGGTCACTGGTCATGTACATAGGCTCCTAGGCATAACCATGCACCTCTGCTTCCCTTGAGGGAAACCTAATCCCATATCCCCTTTAAACCCTAGCTTAATGTGTATTTGATCAATAGAGAGGTATTTAATCAATAAAGGGTATACAAGCCTGTAGATGGGGTAGGAATATGCTTGTTCTGTTTGAGGACAGTGAAAACAACCAAAGTCCTGGAGGGCTAATCAGACGAAGTGGGATCAGACTTGAGTGGGGCCCAATATATTAGGCTACTATTCCACTTATGTCAGACGATGACTTTCTGAAGTACAGCACCTTACAATTTGTAAAGGAACTTCAAATACTTGTTTTCATTTAATGCTCACAATGATCCTATGAAGTCGGTATTATCATCATCCCCATTTTAGATACAAAGAAATTGAAGTTCAGAACTTAGAAGAAGGCTGGGTATTGCTACCAACGGGAAAAACCCATGCTCAAATTTAAAGTTTTAGGCTCCAACTCCCACCATTTTAAGTGAGTTCATTTTTCCGGGATGAGATAGAATTTACTTCCATGAGTACTAGAAGTACCCAAAGATATAACTGCAGATCCATTGTTGGGATCCTGGGAAATAGGCAAATGGGAAAGGTATCACAAATCTGGAGGCATCCAAATGTTTTTCCAATTAGATACAGGCAATAAAAGGCAGCTTTTAGGTGGCTTAGTTGGTTGAACATCTGCCTTCAGCTCAGGTCACTATCTTGGGGGTCCTGAGATCAAGCCCCATGTCAGGCTCCCTGCTGAACAGGGAGCCTGCTTCTCCCTCTCCCTCTGCCCCTCCCCCCTGCTCATGCTCTGGCTTGCTCTCTCAAAATGAATACATAAAAAATTAAAAAAAAAATAGAAACAGGCAAAAAAAGGTAGAAAATCTCCAGACCAATCCCTGGAAACACTTTGAAAAAGAATAGAAAAAGACAACCCAGATCAAATTAGGCAACTGAGAGTTGATGAACACACAGCAGAGAAAGACTCAATTGCTGGGAGCCGGAATGAGTTCTCCTACAAAGACCATGAACAACTCACTTCCATGCTTAGGGCGTTAGGCTTGATTAGACAGGAGGAACGCTGACACCATGTAACTTGTTTTTGGCAGCCTCCAAGAGGTCTAATGATACGCTTGGGTCTTTGACAGGGTCTGCTCAAGAGCCTTGCCACCCAAAGTGAGGTCGTCAATGAACCAGCTGGGAAGCTGGTTAGAAATGCAGAATCTCAGGTCCCACCCCGGACCTACTGAAACTGCATTTTATTTTATTTTATTTTATTTTATTTTATTTTATTTTATTTTATTTTATTTTATTTTATTTATTTATTTATTTATTTATTTTTAAAAATTTTATTTATCTATTCATGAGACACAGAGAGAGGCAGAGACATAGGCAGAGGGAGGAGAAGCAGGCTCCATGCAGAAGTCCAATGTGGGACTTGATCCTGGAACTCCAGGATCACAACCTGAGCCAAAGGCAGACACCCAACCGCTTGAGCCACCCAGGTGTCCCTGAAACTGCATTTTAATGATACAACCAGGCAATTCCTGTACACATTAAAATTTGAGGAGCAATGGGCTAAATTATAGGATAATTTGGTGGATGTGTGACTACCAGGACAGTCATAAAGTGAACACTAATGATAATGAGATGCTTGGTGCCCATCTCTGCAGAAGTCTCCAGATGCCCTTTCCTGTTCTGTATTTTTTAGATTTAGAGCACAGGAGCTAAGAGTACTCACTGACTTTGGAGTCAGTGAGTTCTAGGACTGAATTTTAGTTCTTCCACTAATTAGTTGTATAGCCTTGAGCAATTCCTTAATCTCTCTAAAATGAGGATGATACTATCTATACCTCTCAAGGATGTGGTGAGGAGTAAATGAGAATGTTGTGAGAATTGAATACAGCACATACCCCCACATACAGCAGACACATGATCTGTTCCATGAAGCCTGTAGCTCATCATACACTACCTTGTGCCGTGCTAGCTATGTATGTGTATTACTGTCCATTTGTCCACGTGTATAGTAAGTCCATTACAATTTCCTACAGGCAGGATCATATCTCCTCTTTCCTTTACATTATCCAAAGGGCTGACCACTCTCTTGCCCAGTAAATAATGAACACGAGCAAAACAGCACCTGGTGTTTAATCCAGATGCCACAATGTAAGCTTACCCTGAATGGCTGGACCCCAAGCAAACAGGTAATACCAACTCAAATGCAGATCGACAATTGTTTCATCTCTGGGAACGTTCACAGGGCGTTTAAATCTGCAGGTGACCCGATTGTTCTCAAAGACTCCTTCTTCATCCCTGGCAGGATTTCTCTGGATCTCCTTTGCCCACTGGCCTACATTATAGAAGTGCTGTATGCGGACCCTGCCATTGTCATCGTGGACACAGGCCATGACGTCATCACCACCCTAACATGAAAAACGAGGAAGGAAAAAGTCAAAGGTGCATCTTTTGCAAACTTCTCTGCTAGGAAGAAATTTCACTCAGATATATCCATTACCTCTGTAATTTGAAATCCCACCCCTCAAAATTATTTTTTATTTAAAAAGCTTTAACCAAAGTGATGGAATTTAGCATCACAAGAGCTGAAATCAGGTACCTCCTGGCGTGCTATTCAGAAAATACATCACCAGCTATTGAGTTTTCCTGCTGAAAAATGCAAACCAAACCTAATCATGAAGAAACAATCAAACCCAAAGTGAGTTATTCTACAAAAAAGGATTACAAAAAGTACTTACAATCTTCAAAAGACCAATATCATAAAAAAAAAAAACAAAAGGCTAAGAAATCATTTCTTTTTTTTTTTTTTTTATTTATTCATGAGAGACACAGAGAGGCAGAGACACAGGCAGAGGGAGAAGCAGGCTCCATGCAGGAAGCCCGATGTGGGACTTGATCCCAGGATGTGGGGATCACGCCCTGGGCCAAAGGCAGATGCTCAACTGCTGAGCCACCCAGGCGTCCCAGAAATCATTTTTTTTTTTTTTTTCAGAAATCATTTCAAAATAAAGAAGACTAAAGATTCATGACAACTAATAGTGTTCCTGACAGAATCCTAATTCATAAAATAAGAATTTCTATAAAGAGTGGTACTGGGGGGGCGGGATGCCTGGGTTGTTCAGTCAGTTAAGCATCTGGTTTCGGCTCAGGTCATAATCCTGGGGTCCTGGGATTGAACATGGCATTCAGCTCCCCACTCTTCAGGGGGGTCTGCTTCTCCCTCTCCTTCTGTCTCTCCTCCCACTCGTTCTCTCTCTCTTAAATAAACTCTTTTTTAAAAAAAAAGTAGTATTGGCACAATGGGCAATGATACTATCATATTAATATTAAACTTCCTGAATTTAACAAATAGATTGAATCTCTAAAGTTTCCAGAAAATAAAAATAAAAGCAAGTAGTAGCAGCAACAGCAGGGGAAATAAAGCATGTGGCAAAATCTCATCATTTAAAAAGAAAAAGTTCTGGAAGTAGATAGTGGTGATGGTTGCACCCCATGGACATAATTGAAGCCACTGAGGTGCACATTTTTAATAGTCAAAATGGTAGACTTTACATTCTGTACACTGTATACAACAAAAAGAAAGTTATTTGGCGAATGTTTGTGAAGCATATGTATTGCACTGCCCTTGCAGTTGTCTGTACATTTAAGCTTTTTAAAAACAGGTCCAGGGGCTGGCTCCCTGGGCAGCTCAGCGGTTTAGCACCTGCCTTCAGCCCAGGGTGTGATCCTGGAGTCCTGCATTGGGCTCCCTGCGTGGAGCCTGCTTCTCCCTCTGCCTGTGTCTCTGCTTCTCTTTCTCTTGCTCTGTGTCTCTCACGAATAAATAAATAAAACCTTTAAAAAAAATAAAGAAATAAAAAGAATAAAAATAAAAACAGGTCCAAAAAAATGGGGTGCTGGGATGGCTCACTCGGTGGAGCATGAGACTCTTGATCTCGGGGTTGCAGGTTTGAGCCCCATTCTGGATATAAAGATTACTTAAAAACAAAATCTTTAAAAAAAGAAAAAACTAGGTCCAAAAAGTTAAAGACATCCATCAACTATAACAAATATACCATTCTGTGGGGGATGCTGATATTGAGGAATGTGTGTGAGGGGCAGGGGGCATATGGATATTTTCTGTACCTTGTTTCAATTCTGCTGTGAACCTAAAACTACTCTAAAAATAAAGTCTCAAAAAAAAGTTCTCATTTTTAAAAAACCAATAATATACCATTTCAAAAAAAAGTTTAAGACTATTAAAAAGGAGTTCCATTTTGCTTTTCCTTTGCATCTGGTTTTGAAAAAATTTTCAACTGTGCTTCTCTTTGGAATAACAGGAGAAGAAAAGAGAGATTTATCTGTTAAAGGCCTTCAGATAGGGCAGCCCCGGTGACTCAGTGGTTTAGCGCCCCCTTCAGCCCAGGTTGTGGTCCTGGAGACCCAGGATTGAGTCCCACATTGGGCTCCCTGCATGGAGCTTGCTTCTCCCTCTGCCTGTGTCTCTGCCTCTCTCTCTCTCTCTGGTCTCTCATGAATAAATAAATAAAATCTTTAAAAAAAAAAAAAGCCTTCAGATAGCAAAATGTCAAACATAGAGGTGCCTGAGTGGCTCAGTCAGTCAAGCATCCAACTCTTGGTTTTGGTTCAGGTCATGATCTCAGGGTCCTGGGATAGAGTCCCAAGTCAGGATCCAAGCTCAGCGGGGAGTCTGCTTGAGGATTCTCACTCTCCCTCCTCCCTCCCCCCACTTGCGCTCTCTAAAATAAATAAATCAATCTTTTTTGAAAAAAAGCCAAACATAAAATTAGAACATGTCTTACTCAACCTCCCTCCTCTGACTGCCCTAATCTTAAAAGCTGCACTATGGGTGCAAATGCATTCTAGGACGGGAAATGGTCAATTGCATTGCAAGCCAGTTTCTGGGATGGCACACACCTGCTGTTCCTCTCACTGACCCTAAAGTGACGCAGATTCATATCCATGCTGTCTTCCCGTTAGGCCCATTGTCTTACTGCCTGGACTGGCTTCGGTAGCAGCTCATTCTTCTGGTGACCTTTCCAAGAACAAAGTCACCGGAGTTCTGACTGCTTAGCCTGATCCTCCAGTCTCTACTTAACACCCACTTACAACCCATCAACAATCCATAAGCGAACACGGTCAGCGCTGCCTTCAAAACATATCCCAGATCTGAGCACTTCTCACCACTCCCACTGCTGCTACTATCTGAGCTGACCTCCTCTCATTGCAGGAGCCTCAAGACAGGCCAGGTGAAGAGAAGAAGGAGGCTCCTCTTAGCAGAGCAGGAGCATGTGCAAAGGTACAGAGGCCCGAGAAAGTCTGGCTGTCTGGGAAGCAGGCTGCCACACTGAGATGGCAAATGATGGGAGGAGGGAAGAACATAGCAGAGGCACAGAAAGAGCAGAGGTAAGTGATGGACAGCTGCTTGGGATCCAGACACCCGTCCTGGTCCTGGTCCCTGGTTTTTCTGAGGTCCAGATGTGTTCTTGCCTATGCGTACTGCAGAAGACTTAATTGTTGGCCTTACTGCTTCATTCCCTGGTAGGAGTATTATATCCCCACACCTTCACAGGGCCTCTTGGGAAGGGGAATGAAATTCCCTCTCCCTTCATTCTGGCCTTGGCCGTGTGATTTACTTTGAGCAATGGAATGTTAGCAGATACGATGTGAGCAGAGGTTTGAAATAGGCTTGGAGGGCTCTTGCCCTTCTGTCTCTGCCATAAAAACAACATGCCCTGTTAGCTGCTGGTTCCAGAATGATTAGAAAAAGCCCGAATCCAATTCATGGGCTGGAGCCAAGCCCAGTTGAACCCTGTCCAATTCACACACATGTGGGCAAGAAATAAATGCTTATAAGCCATGTGGTTTTGGAAGCTCTCCTTGCAGCATTACTGCCATAATAACTAATAAACCCAGGCACCATAAGATACCTCGTATTCCCATAACCAACCCTTCCTTTTCTGTTTAAGCTAGCTTCATTTTTTTTTAACTTGCAATCAGAGAGCCACAGCTAATATAATCGTTACGCCGCTTTTATCACTTTATTTCCTTTGCTTTGAAAAAGAAAATCAAATGCTAGAAATTCACACATTTAACAGAGGCATGGTAGCTTGGAGAAACCATGCCCGTTCTCCAAAATCTAAAGTACCACAGCAAACTAAAGGGAAAAAAAAAATCATCTCTTATCATGATTTGCATCTTACCATTTTCTTGTCTGAAGAGAATCCAACTGCTACCCAACCATCTGTGTCAGCACTCAGCTCAAATTCCACATCAGCCCCTATCATCCGGTAGCTAAGGAAGTAGTCACAGGTCTCCGCATTGCAGCCCGGTTTGCCATATCTAGAGGATGTATCAAAACAGCACTGCTGCTTCATCTACTTATTCACAATACATTACAAAGGCAACAATATGTTAGGCATAGTGAAGCAAGATTATCACATAAATTAGCTCTTTGCTACCAGGGATCTGAAAACCACAATTTCACTCGGGAGAGACTGTGGAGAGTATCTGCTCCTTTTTATCTACATACAACCTGAGGACCAGAGATGGGAAGGGGATTGCTTGCGTAGTTGAGTCAGTAGCTGCAACAGGACTTGCATGTGGGCCTCCACTCCCAGCCAGGGTTCTCAGCATTATATTAGAGTTTTCTCAGACATTACTTATTGCTGAATTATTTCTGAATCCCTTTCAGAGGCAGAAATTCTCCGAGTGAATAAATAAACTGTCTTTGTGAATTAAATGTGCACCAATTTATTTTTACTTAGAAATTTTAACACAGCTAAATTAACAAAAACATACAAATTAAATATAAACTACAAAACCCGGAGCATTTAAGTTCTCAGCATTCATGTGATGGATGATGTCGTTTTACTGAAGGCAGATTTTGCTTACCTGCATGGGGTCTCTCTGACTACACTGTGCGGGATCTCTTGGTTGAGCTTGTTCTTACTACTAACTACGATTACGATTCCACCTCCCTCCACTTTCATCTGTTTGAACTGCTGTAAAACCCTCATACATACGATACATGAAATGAAACCTCATCTGGTATTCACTGAGCATGAATGCATCGTTGATTTATAAAATCTGCCTTTGCTCTATTGGGCTACTTGGTGCTAACATAATTACAAATTGGGACTGTAGAGTACAGAGCAGTATAAACTGGTTATCCAGATAATCAGATTATGCAAACATTAATCTTTTTAAGGAGCATGAATGAAATGGAAACACAGATTTAAATTTTCTTTACAGAGGACTTGTGGATCCTTTAAAAATCAGAAAGGTCTAGTGGAGGAAGGTTGTTTTACACCATTTTCCAAATAACAGAACCCTGTAGCAATGGGTGAGACAATCGAAGGTCAGGTGGAAGGTATCTGTAGGCACATGCCACCAGGCTGGCAGGTACCCTGAATGGCTGGGAAGAGATGTAAGCTCAGGACAACGCAGAACACGGTGAAAATGCTGGATGGAAGTAAGGGAAAGCTACAGGAAGAGTGAGTGGGCCAGAAAGTAAGTCACCCTGAAGCCAGCAGGTACTGAAATTTCTTCTTTTCTTGAAAATGTCCCCCAATCACCAGACTTAACATTGCTGGCCATCTTCCTCAATAATTGTATTATTTGGATTCTTAAAAATTCCTTGGAGGGGTTTCTGGGTGGCTCAGTCGGTTAAACGTCTGCTTTCAGCTCAGGTCATGCTCCCAGCATCCTGGGATCAAGCACTGCATCAGGCTTCCTGCTCAGCGAGGAGTCTGCTTTTCTTTCTCCCTCCTCCTTCCCCTCACTCGTGCTCTCTCTCTCTCTCAAATAAATACAATCTTAAAAAAAATTCCTTAAAAATACCCTTGTAATCCAAAGAGAACTCAAAACCCCTTTATTCAAGTTTTTCTTGTTAGACCTTGAGCGTTGAACAAAAGAAAATTAAAAACTTTCAGTACCGTGGCCACCATGACCTTTATTTACTCAAGGGCAATTTATTTTAGGAAATAACAATTTCAAAGAGGAGGCAGCTTTTCCAACAAAAAAAGAGCTGTCTATACTAGTGTTCGCTAGCTCACCCCATTATGCTTTAATAGAACACTGCTAGCAATCACGTAGGGAGTCACTAAACCAGAGATAACAAGCTAACGACAATAACCCGTGTTCAAGGACTAGTTAGTATTATCCAGAGATCCCTAAGTCATGACTTACTTGAGAAGGCATTGGGTCTTAGACGTGTCTATAACGGTCTGTCCCACTCACAGCCCTAATAAAATATAGCTTGTGCCATGTGATTCTTTTTCATAGAGCCAACTAATTAGGAGTAGATACTTGGGCCAATAGCAGACAAGAATGTTCCATTGACCAGTAGCCTTCTAGAGCTTATGGCCTCTAGGACTGAATACTGGGGTGGCCATTGGAAACAGGCCACATCCCTGCTGAAGCTTTGAGGGGGTGCAGGGCCCTGATTAGAATGAGCTGTATGCGATTTAAATACCACCTTGAGAAGTAAATCAGTTCCTTAGCCTTCAAGCTATCCAACTCACGGATCTACCAACCTAAAGCATCCCTTAGTTTTTCCACAGTCATCCACTTTGATTTTGGCAAATGGATCCACAGGAGGAGCAGTAGGGAAAGGATAACCTAGATGGTGAGAATAAACAATGGTTAGAAAATCCAGTGACAGCTTTCCTGAGGAGAAATTTTTCTTTTTAATAGGTTGACTATTTTCAAACACACGTGTCCAGGAATGTTTAGGGCCTCAGAAGAGGGCTTTGTGTAAGCCTCATTACCCTCTTCCTGAGGGGAGTGTGTAGGGCACACATCTTTGAGCCAGACTTACATGCTAACTGAGAATATATGGCCTTTCCCCCATTTTATAGGTAGGGAACCTGAGGCAGAGAGGTAACATAATTTCAACAACCACGGCTCATCACCGTCCCTGGGAGTGCAAAAATCACAGCTTTCATATAATACCTGTGCTCTAAGAGGGGAAAAAACCAACAATGAAATATTTGTATATTGGATCGTGGAGGTTTTCCATTTATACCTACACATGATAATAGGATTTTCCCATTTCTCTGAACTTGCATTTGTCATCAAGCTGTATAGGATAGTTTCATAGTTCACTAAATTCTACAAACACATCGTTTCTAACAGCTCGGTATCTTTCTTGTAAGATCACTTCATATCATGATACATTCAACCACACACTGAAAGGTAGGCCTGAGTTATGCTTCCAGTTGGTGACAGCAAGATTTTTCTCCTCCGTGGTTAACTCCATGCACACAGGAACCATACGTGAGTCATCTTGGGTTCTCTGTCCAGCGTAGTGCTTGGCACTGGACACCGACTACATGATTGTCAAATGAATAAATAAAATCACCCACAGATATTAGGCAATTAAACATAAACTTGAGGCTTTGTTTACTTTGTTTCATTATGATGTAGGAAAGACATTGGGGTCTGGAGCCAATGGCCAAGAAAGAATTCTTGAGACATCTTTGGTACATAAAGGTGATTTTCTTAAAGCACAGAAACAGGACCCGTGGGTAGAAAGAGCTGCACTGGGGTCAGGAGGAGTGGCCCGTTATACACTTTCAAGTTGGGATGGGGGCGAAGGGATAGGACAAACCTCCTGTATTTTGGAAACAAGGTTTTCAGGGCCTTGAGGGGGCCAGCTATTGTTAGGAACAAGTCATTTATTACTAGTTAGTAAAGATTCAATCATGAGAAAGGAATTTTTATATGTTAAAGTAGACTCATAGGGTCCTGGGGGACTGTTGGCCTTAGTAAAGAACTAACATTGAGGCAGCGGAGATCCTAGAGGAATGTCATTCTGCCTGTGTCAAGGACTTGTGAATGGGCTGTAAATAGTAAGGAAATTTAATTTCTCTTTTGCCTTTGTTTCCCACATCATGTTATACTTAAAAAAAAAAAAGCCATTGGGCCATGGTTTCCACTTATCTGTACACTTGGGACAGTTCATTTCTACTATCCTAGATCTTGCTCACATGCTAAAATACAGCCCTAGTAGCTTTTTTCTATCTCTAAGTAATTGGGCCAAGTACATTACTTTTTCTACTTTTATGCTTATTTTATGCTGAGCCCTAAATCTACTTCGGTACTCTAGGCTAAGTCTTGCCTTGGATAAATTTTTTGTTTTTCTCTTAACATTTATTGAGCAACTGCTTAATGCTATAAACTACATTTAAGCATCTTCATATATGTTCTGATTTCCACTACCATGCTGAGGCTATTTTTTTCTCAGAATAATTATCCAGGAATTCAATGACTAGTTATGTTTTTACAATTCTAGGGGTACCTGGGTGGCTCAGTTGGTGAAACATTTGCCTTTGGCTCAGGTCATGAGCTCCAGGTCCTGGGAATGAGACCTATGTCAGGCTCCCTGCTCAGGGGGAGCCTGCTTCTCCATCTCTCTCTTGCCTCTCTCCCTGTTCATGCTTTCTCTCTCTTTCAAATACAATCTTTTTTTAAATTAAAGAAAATAAAAATTCTACAGGTAACTGGGGCGCCTGGGTGGCTCAGGCAGTTGAGTATCCAACTCTTGGTTTCAACTCAGGTCATGATCTCAGGGTCTTGAGATGAAGCCCTGCCTCGGGCTCCATGCTCACCTGGAAGTCTGCTTGAGATTGTCTTTCTCCCTCTGCCCCTCTTGCTCACACACTCTCTCTCAAATAAATACATAATTTAAAAAAATTCTATAGGTAATTGAAAAAGACGATCTCTTATAATGTAGCTTCTCAATTTCCCCATCTTTTCCTGTTATCCTTACCATTTCCCAGCACCTAAAATAACGCACTGGCATACAGCAGAATTCCATCACAATAAACACCAGTTATTATTAATATTGGATTACTATTACTATTAAGTTTTATAAACTGGATTGAGAACTAGTAACCATAGGATAAGATCATCTCTAAAAGAATGGGTTTCTAAATTCTAAATTAAGAGCAAGCTTTGGAACAAAACTCACTTATAAATGTACCAAGCTACCTTATTAGCATTGGCAAGTGGCTTCTCGGGGCTTTTCTAGCACTAATTTCCTATTCTCTCATCTGCTTCTAAAACTTGGAATGAGAACTTGTTTTGCCAGATGCATTGGGGTATATTTTTCTCTTGTTTTGTAAGGTGTTGTATAATAAAGAATTTGACTGGTTTGTGTCCCTGGTCCCTGGAGAGAGGGTGAGAGAGGCTCCAAATCCTTGGAATTTCCCAGCAGACTGTCTTCGTGATTCCTGAGCCCCTTGGGATCACACCTGAGCTTATGCTAAGACGGAAGATGACTCAGGATTGGGGGCTGGTCACCAGAAAAACCAACCACGTGACTAGAGGTTTGGGGCTGTCAGCTACTTGGGAGGGGAGGGAGGCTGGGGATTGCATTTAATTATGTAGCCAGTGATTAAATCAATAATCCCTATGTAATGAGACCCCAATCGAAACTCTGGACATAAGCTCAGCACTGCTTCCTGGCTGGTGAACAAACTAATACCAGGGAGGGCGACAAGGCCTGATTCATGAGAAGAGGGCAGAAACTCTGCATTTGGGAGACCCCCCAGGACTTTACTCTAGTGTGTCTTCACCAGCTCTTCCTGAATTGTATCCTTTTTAGCAAGTACAGTGCTTTCCTGAACTCTGTGAAACATTCTAGTGAATCACAGAATCCGAGGGGGGTTGTGGGTAGCCCCAAGATCTGCAGCCAGTTGATCTTAAGTGAGAGCAGTCTTGTGATGGACCACCCCTTTTAGCTTGGGGGCGGGTCTGTGTTAGCTCTGGGTTATTAGCACCAGAAATTAATTGCACTATACTAGTTGGTGTTGGCAGAAAAATATTAAGCGCAGCAATATAACACTTTTCCCCTGAATTTAGATGATTTGGCATAAATTTAGTTTGGACCATGTGCCAGTATTTAAGCTCTTGTCTCTGAGAACCCAGCCTTCTATAGCCAACTCTCTGATGGGCTGAATTCTCTGCAAACCACATTTCTCCTTTGCCAGCTGGCTAGGCTCTGCCAAAAGGAAGCACTGGAGGGAGGCTAGGAGGCAGGAGGCAGGAAGACCATCCCTTCCGATTGGATTGCTGTCCACTATACAAGTCCGGGCGCTTCTGCTTCATCCTTGCAGTGGCCAGTTGGTTCCGGCTTCTGGCTTTTTATCTAGACTCCCATAACCAGCCTTGTCATGCCCTCAAAGGAACCAACAGCCACTGGGTGGGGAGCCCCATTCTCAGAGGATGGGTTGGAGTTTTGGGGGGGGGGTCTCTTGTCTGAGTTTCTAGATTCTTACAGCCTCAAGTCCTTCTCTGTGCCCAGACCCCTCTCACCACCCCAGGCCCGGGGGTGGCAGCTGTTTCTCGCAGTTACTGTCTCTGTGCTCCTTTTTGCTTCTCCCGTGCCCCGACACCTACTTAGATAGCTCCTGGGCTGGTCATCCTGTTTAAAAAAAAAAAAAAAGCCTAGAAATGATTTATTTTTCTGATTGGATCTTGTTGGAGAGAGACTAAATTGATTAATCCTTGAATAACTACACAATGGATTTGCAGACTGTACCTTATTAGCTGTTATCTCGATAACAAGCTAGAGAATAGTGTCATCCAATAGATATTTTACATGGCACTGCACAATTTTATCGGAAAATTATCTTGATGGCAGAACTTTAATCTTTAAATATGTAGGTGCACCAAATTAAATCGATGACATTTCTTGGTTTATGGGACACTCATAGGAGTCTATACAAAGCCCATGTTCTATTTCACCCTAATCCTCGCCTAAACCCACTTTCCTTCTGGTCTAGAGTATTTCGTGCACATCCTTCTGCAAAGGCTGCAGGTTTTAACAAAATGAACACTCTGACACATATATCTTAGAAAAGCAATATTTTACCATGATAAACGGAAAGCACACATTAGTAATAACGGGTACCAGACAACATGGGGTTGGGAGGTAAACTTCTCATCTCTGCTAGCTCCTTCTAGGGCATGGGAACTCCACCTGGCCAGGGTCAGGTCCTGCCCTGTTGCAAAAATCCTTTCGTATTCCCAACAACACCGTCCTGAAAGTCCTGCGTGATTACCTTATAAAATAATCAACAAAGTGCCTTCACCAGAACCTGGATCTAAAGTTGAGGTTCCAGGCCCAATTTTTCACTATGCCAACAGCGCCAGCCCTGCCACGCTGTCCACAGCTGCACTCTACTGGCCATCCCAAGGCCTGCCCAAGGTCTGGAAGCACCAGAGCAAAGCAGTATCAAGAGCCCAGCCTCGTTTACCATCCACCATCCATATGTTTATTTTTTTTAATTTTTTCATATGTTTATTTTCATACATGGGTGCTCTTGAAAAGTAGATGGTTTTGTATGCTTTTAAGCTGCAGAAAAGCGACACTGTGCAGTAAATCTCATTCTACTATTTTTATTTTCCTTTGGAAATCTATCCCTATATGTAAACGTGAGACCTCTTATTACTGCTGATTGAATAGCATTCTGTGATGTGCATAAAAACACAGGTTTTGAAATAACCTCCCCATTGCCTTAATGTTTAAAATGCCTTCAATGTTTGTTTTGTCCAATAATGAGATGAACTGCCTTACATATGTTTCTCGTAGACATATGCAAGAGGTTTTTGAT